GAGTTGCCAAACGTCAGCCTCGAAACCTTAATGACTTGGAGAAGATCTGCAAAGAGGAGTGGGACAAAATCCCTCCTGAGATGTGTGCAAACCTGGTGGCCAACTACAAGAAACGTCTGACCTCTGTGATTGCCAACAAGGGTTTCGCCACCAAGTACTAAGTCATGTTTTGCAGAGGGATCAAATACTTATTTCCCTCATTAAAATGCAAATCAATTTATAACATTTTTGAAATGCGTTTTTCTGGATTTTGTTGTTGTTATTCTGTCTCTCACTGTTCAAATAAACCTACCATTAAAATTATAGACTGATCATTTTTTTGTCAGTGCGCAAACGTACAAAATCAGCAGGGGATAAAATACTTTTTTCCCTCACTGTATATTGATTATGGGACCTTTAAATGGACAGGAACTCGTGAACTGTATGCTTACTGCTAAGTTAGGAGCCAGTAGTTGCATATATTTAATTTTACTCGAGTGTAGTGGAACTCTTCTTATCCATTACGAAGTTGGGAGAGGACTTTGCAGATCCTATCTGTAATCTAACCAATATTTACTGGGAACCATTCGCTATTAGAACATGCCCAACTTCCAAAGTGTGTACGTGCACCAAGTGATGAAGTGAGGGGTTGATGGATAAAAAATCTTGGACATGGATCACAAACTATGGTGATTGATCTTAAGCCTCAGTTTTATTCTAGGCCAGGGCTATGACCAGTGCAATCTAAACCAGGCCCCCCTCCACTTCACCAACCTGCATTGACCAGTGTGGAGAAGTACGCTCAAATAATCACTGGGATCGACAGGGCATCGAGAGGCCTTCACTCAGCAGTGGATTGACAAAGGCCTGGAAATAATGTAGTGCTATTCACGCGGTACATGTTTCAATATGAATTCTTGTTAATAATTTATTATATAGGTGATACAATTACTGCTCTGGTAATGAAGTGGTTCCTGTAAAAGGCAGTACAGAGATGAATGTGATTGGATGTGTTCAAAGTGCGAGTGGTTTTCTCCTTTCAGAAAAAAATAAAAAGGTAGTGTGGCCAAGAAGAAAATGGCCAAATGTTTTAAAGTAGAACCCTCCTGGCAAAAACATAAGACTCAGCGGAGTTTAAGTCAAACTATGTCCCTACTTCAATGAGCATGGGGCAATGCTCCTCTCCACTGGCAACTCTGAGCCTGGAGTAGGAATTACACATGCTGAAGGTTGGGCCCAGTCTATCCAAAGGATGAACACTACTCATGAACATTGTTCATCCTGTGTTCATCCTGTGTTCATCCTTTGGGTGAGCACCTCCGATTAGCAAGGTTGGCTAAGTATGGTGTGAAATAAGTTCAATATACATACATTGATTTCCTGAAAAGTGTTAATCAGAGGGTCAAAAATTTTCAATAGCAATAGAAACAATCGTTTATTTTTTATGCACAATGGCCATAACAATGAGTAAAATCCAGATATGGCTGCATTAAAATTCACATCATGGCAAAAATCCACCTCGGGGGTCCACAATCCACAATTTAGTGTACAACTGAGCCAGTCCCAAGCCTGGATAAAAAAAAGGAGGAGGGTCGGGCAAAATAGTGCTGATAATTCGGCCATGAACAAAAGAGGACTAAATTTATCCAATGCACCTTACGACCACATAAGAAGGATACCGGCTCGGAGGTTGCCCGGGTCAAGCAGGTCCGCGTCTCCATGGCAAAAACAAGATTGTGTAGACTTTTTGCAAATTCAAACAACAGGCACCTGTGTACAATATTGTCAATCAGCATCTTGGGAAAGCAAAGTCATTTAACAATCTCAATGCAATTGTGAGTTAATTGCACAACACCTTTTTGCAGGGCCACGGCAGTGCCCGTTGACATGACAATAAAACATATGGTCCCTGCTATTACTACAGAATAAGTTAAACAGAGCCACTTAAGGGACAACTTTGGTTAGGTCTCAGTGGGATCTATAGATTGTATAATTATGCACAGACCGTGAACAAGCCTTTGAGCATCAGCTCTGCCCAGCACATGGTGTACTGCAGGACACTTATGGCTTAATTTCAAATAAATTATAACATCATGCACCATTTTTAGGGATTATGTACAGCAGATAGAAACCAAACAACCATATAAATCTAACTACTTTAGCTTTTCAAGCAATGAAGTCGTCAAGCAAAGGAATTAATTTTCAGTGACATACACAGCGTACACCAGGGCTTCAATTACGTCATGGAATATTTTCCATGACCCCCCCCCCTCCAAGCCCCAACCCCCTGGACCCTGCCTCCGCTCCTCTCTCGATAGTGGTGGATAATGTAGCAGAGATGGGGCTGTGAGATCAATTCACGTGCAGAATCACGGGGAATAATTAGGAAGTGCATATGCATTGGCTAATAATGATGATATTAAATTAATTTATTTTAAACTTCCATTTCATATAGTTTTCCACAATCCGATTTAATGGCCACCCACATAATTCCAAATGCAGTGAATAATTAGAGACACAATTTATTGTATTTGACCATAGTCTAAGGACAGAATTAAAAGGGCTAGGAGGGTCATGAGAATTGTGTCTTGGTTTCCCTTGGGTAGTTTTCTGTGGGTCACCCTTAGCACATTACATAAGCCAGGACTTCCCAACTATTATTTGTACTGAGACCTAATTACAGCCTCTATTAAAAACTCATAGATTTAATTATACTGAGCAGTGATGTATAGGCATGAACACAAAAGTCAAGGAATTAATTTATAACTTTACCAATGGAATGTAGGCGTGCCGATTGGGCACAAAGCCACTCCATTGCTTTCATGGACAATTGGCACATTATGTACCTTTTATGAATGCCCCATTATTATAGCTGCGGCCACCTATGAGCCCATGAATTCCAGGGCAGGAAACATTTGCTAAGGCCATTGGTGATTATACTTTGTAAAATATAGTAACAGGTAAAGGTGCAGCCCTGTTATTGCGTGCTCGTGCTACTTCTGGTAGAAGGACCTACATCAGGGAGATATTTAGGGAGTCCATCTAGACAGTATTTTGGCCTACTATTCCATGCTGGAAAGACATTAAGAGGTGGGAGTACCCACACTTTACCCAATACATTTGTCTGGCCGATCGAATGGTATACCAATTTATCCTGCTGGGGAGACAGATTCAAGAAATTTCCAATTGTTTCAACTACCGTGCCGGGGGATCACACTGGCGACCTCTAGATTTCAAGTCCATGGTAGCATCTCTATGAAATGTAGTATGTGTGTAAAAAAATAGAATTTGTACTCATTGTACATATATCAGGAATATATTTAAAGTTCATAAGTTGGCTAATGAATGGTATTATTTTTTTTCTAAAAAAAGTGAATATCTAGCACAGATTGGTGCTATAAGCTTCTTTCGAACATTAAGGGCTCACGCTTCTAATTCAAGAAAATATGGAGGTAGGAAATGAGTGTAGGATTCTGTTGAATTTTTCATGCTATTAATAGGCTGAGTGGAGATTTAGAGTGCTTTCCAGTGAGCTATAACGACAATCGCTGAGCCAGTTCAGTTTGTCTCATCCCAGTACAACACATGGGTATTCAGCCCCGACAGTTTTCCAGAAGGGATAATTCAGTGATTCAGTAATTGTAGATGATTCCACATTCTACCATGCTTGGTATTTTATGATAAACTTTTATAAGAAGTGTAACTGGAGTAGGCTTCTAAATGCACGATATAAATTGTATTTATACTCATTGGTTCTTTCGGTAAAGTCACGTAGGTATAAAATGAAATAAATCACGACGTTTCGGGCGCAACACAAGCGCTCGTCATCAGGTGGGAAAGCATGATTTCCAAAGAGTATGGATTCCTGCATTCACGAAAGCTTCAAATCAAGATAAATTGTATTTGTTTGATAATGTGGGTTAAAGAGTCTAGAGGGACTTTGCCAGAATCATGTCACTTATGGATGTCTACTCGTTATCGTAAAAAACAAAGACACCTACTTTTAGCCACAATAAACTATATTTATTAAATGATCTTTAATCAATAAATGTATCTACGAATTGTTGTGGAGCATAATGGGTAAAAGCTGACATCAAATTATATATTCATGTGGAGACATAATTAAGTTCTCAGAAATTCCTTCAAACCCATTGCTACCGAGTGTTCCAGTAATGTGTGATATTGACCACCTTATTCGATTTAATCAGGTCCCTTTATCCTTTTCCATCCATGCAAAATCCAGAGGTCTTTCTCTCTGAAGATTCCTCATAAATTACAGGTAATTTCAAACATTCAATTCACCCGCTTTTGGGCTCCCCACCTCGTTTATATCTAATAATGAACAAAATGTAATTCTTTAAAATGTTTGGTTTACTCTAATCACTTTTACGTGTCAACGTTGTGTAGCTCATCAACCAATTTAGACATCGCGGGCTTGGTAGTGTTCCTTAAGGGAGATTACTCAGTGTCGTTTTCAATGCCATTTCTATTTGCAAATCTGGATCAGTCAAATATGTTAAAATACATTTAAGTGTCAGAATTGTCAGTGTGTGTCGTGGCAAGGTTGTGCTTGTATGATTGGTGGGAGAGTGTGCTTTGTGTATACATCTCACATGTATCACTTGGCTTCAACACTGCCAGCACTATTTTATACCTTGACCATAGTTGACAGCATGTGCGTCACATGCACAGACATCAAGCTTTCTTTTAAATATAAAACATACGTTTTTATAATCATTTTCCAGTTTCAGTTTTAAGTGTTTCACTTTTGAATGCTGTACTCTATCAAGTTCACTTGAGGTATAAATTAACAGATTCATTAGATACCATAAAATTACAACCGATTTAGTTCCAATTTCATTGCCTTAAACACATACAAACATGTATAGGCCAATTCTTGTCTTTATTGAAAATCGTAATTTAACATTGATTTTCTCCCACTCTGAACACTAATAACCCTAAGCACTCTCTAAAAATAATTGTTTGAGTTCTGAGTCTGGCAGTACCGCTTAGTGACTCACCAGTCATCCATGGCTCGGGGGAGCTCTGCGTTGGGGGGCCCAGTGCAGACGCCAGGGGCAGCAGAGCGAAGACTGTAGACAACACGAGCAACGGGGAACATAGTGGCGGTGGCGGCGACAGCGGAGGTGGCAGAGCGTGGTTAGAGGCGCGAGCCACTCCGGGGGGGCTCCCAGGCCCCCTCGATCGCTGCGCCCCCATCGGCAGAGCCCCCGTGGGCCTCACGGTGGTGCCCAGGCCTGCGTGGTGGCTGGGACGAGCGGCGTCGGATGGTGGAGTCCCATCGGGCGCGTATGCGGCGAGCGTGGCGGAGAGCGAGGGTGGTGGTTGTATAGCCGGCACAGCAGGGCAGCCAGGGCAGTGAGGCCAACCGACACAATGCTCTGTGATATCCCAAGGCCACGGAGAGGCGGTGTCCGTGCCCAGATTTAAAGAAACAGCCGTAGTTATTTTGTTAATTTTAAAACTCACGTGCATCTCGTATCGGGACCGACTGTTAACGCGTGAAGCGACAGGTGTTGGTCCAATGGCAAATGAGCAGGCACGTTTGGTGTTGTGACGAAAATGCAGATGTATCTCAGCTTTAAAAAAAATTCCGAGCTCCGTGTTGGCCCAATGCAGACGTCAGGTTGTAGTCCACTTGTCTCCAGTAAGCCTCCATGGTACGTCAAAGCAGCAGTTACGGCCAGTACGTGAGGAACGCAGATATTCTCCGGCTTAGCTGTGCATCTTGTATATGTGGGAAAGAAGCAGCGGCAAATGCGCAGCAGGTGATGAGCATGGCAGGGTCAAAATTACTTAATCTCCCTCTTCCTGATCAAACTCCCGAGAAGGAAATCACAACCCCCACAGCTGGAGGAGGAGACAAGAATGTGACATGTGGAGCAAGATGTGTCTCTTTCCACCCCCCACCCCAGGTTCAAAAACACATTTGTCCTTAAAGTCTCCGTCACGCACTCCGGCACCAGGCAGGCACACGTGTACAGGGAGAGGGAAATGCCTTCAGGACGTTCTAGCCAGGCTCCTTGCAGGTGATGATGCTGCCTCCATCAAGGAAGCAAAGTGGCTACACACTGTTTACCACATTCCATTCAGTGTGCTGGCACAGCTCGTCCAACGTTATTTTTGCTGCGTCCATTCCATTATTTATAAATGTGTGCACGCGTCTTCAAGGATTAATACTTGCAGGGTTAGATTGCTGCAAACAAAAAATTGGTATAGGGTTTGCATTTGAAAACTTTAATTACGTGTATTAATTTGTAATCCAAATAACAAACTCAATAATAGTAATTGCGCTGTATATAAATATAGATATTTTTTTGTTATACAGTGGATAAGAATGGAAAATCGTAGCAATATTTGATTTATTTTGCAAGCAGCAAAGGAATATTTTGTAATGAGCTGATGCCGTGATGAGGGCTGACGTCAAAGTCCTTCAGAGGTGTTCGTATGTTGAGCTGGAACCACCGGATGATAACGGTGAGATGTAGCTAGACAGAGCCATCCACCGCGGAGTTGGTAGAAGTGGGATTGTGGGCAGGGAACAGATCTCCCGGCTTGCACTAGTTATCCATGCACTGTTTAAAGCATTCCCTCCACCTCCCATCATCAGACGGCAGGGCTGGCATCGGAGGCACAAAAATGAATTATATGGTTTCATTCCCAGACACTTTACTATTTTGTGGAGCACGCTGTGATTGTAGTCAGCTTCCACATGAAAGGGTAACGGAGCGCGTGTATGGGGCAGCACGTCGTCGTGTCCCCAAAAGAGCAATCTCAGCGTGGAACCTTCATTCACAATGGGCTTGGGTTTCACCTAAGGAACAAAGGAAAGGAGCGCGTGTGGAGGTGTGAGGGCTGGTGTAAGAAGAGGCAGAGGCACAGGGGTGACAAGGGGGAGTGTGGAACATCAAAGCAAATATCAGTTGATTGGAGTCTCAAAATAAAGGTGACTCAGTATGCACATAATAAACCCATTGAAGAATACGGCAGGGCAATGGGGAGAAACACTGAGAATGACATTGAGAAACTTCTGTTCTCAATTTCCTTCACATTATGAAAAACAAATTCCCCATGTTTTCAGCAGCAACTCTCTGTAGTTTTTACAAACTCTCAGCAACCCTTTACATGGATGAGTACAAAGGTAGCTCAAACCACAGCGTAATATTTGCTTCAGTGGCCTGACCTCTCTGCTCCCCCAATCGTGCCCTCATCTCATTGCCCTTCATTTTGACCACCCCGGAGGAATGTACGTTTTGTACGGATTTTTCCAATAGCATCAGCAAACCCTCCCTCGTCCAGGCCTTCATCAATCACTTCTGGGTACACCCCAGGACAGCATCTCTAACCCTTCCATCTCCCTCCCACACCTCTCTCCTCCCCCCATCTACACACTCCCCCCAAGTATCCCCTTATCATTCTCCTATTTGCTGCACACTTCATCTGAGTCATAGAAATCACCACATTCCCATTTGTCTGTTATTTAAATTCATTAATTACCGATTTAGTACATTCATATTCACTTAGTTCTGTAGAAGATATTCCAGTGTGATAGTCTCTCTTTTGCATGGCAGACCTAAAGTGGTTTCTTTATTTCGTACCATGTGAAATCCGCTTGTATTCCTCTGCATGAAAACATTAAAGCAACAAACTCAAGCAATGCAAACACAAGAGCTCTCCTCGACAAAAACAATGTCAAATATTCATACACAAATAAATCTGTGACCGCTTATGCACCATATGGAAAGTTAATTTAGGTTTTTCCATTAACTTCACATATCTGCAGGTTCCAGGAAGGCGCTGCTGGAGAAAAAGGCGGTCTGATAAGACATTCACTCTCAATGGCATGAGTCACGCTGCTAAGCAAGCACACCTAGTATCATGGATTAATCCAACATGCTAAACCCGAGCTTGAATCGCGGGAGTAAACATAGGGAAGCAGCATCACGTGCAACCCGCGTACATGACTGCGATAACCTGACCTGGGCAGCAGATGACTTAATGCTACGATAGAGTGCACCAGGTTAATACGGATCAAAGCAATGAATTCGGAGATAGTCTGTGGGTCTACAATATAGGGAAAGTATTGGGCAGTAACTTCGTCTGACGTTCGATGTTCAAATCCAGTGGCCACCCTGGTTAATATTGCTGGTGTACTAACTGTAAAAATACACGCCATCTTCTTGACAGTGAACGTTAGAGATCCCTTGATGTAACTTGCAAGAGTAGGCCAATGTGTGCAGGCTTCTTGGTCCAAAATTTCCAAAAGAATATATTAACTGCAAATAAATCAATTGGAATATACAAAGCAGCCATTGCTCCTGACTAAGGATACCTGCCTGGACCTTCCTGAAAGAGAGTCATGAGGCTGAGTGAGGTTTATCTGGAAATAGAAGTGTAATTATGACGATAATAATTAAATTATCGATTATATCTTTAGATTTACTCTAAATTGCCCAGATGTATTTTGTGAATTTGCCCTGTCTATATGAACAATGGCCATGCAAACACAAGGATGTGCCCTAAAGTTCCCATCGAAAGCACTGTCCTCTGTAATTATAACATCGAAATCTAAAAAAAAACTAAATCTGATTAATCCAGGTGCTGGCATGATAGAATGGTTAGTACATTGTATTTTCAATCCCAAAGTACACCAGTTTAATTTCCTGGTGTGGCAGCTAAAACAATGGTGCAAGTTTATTGAATCTTCCTGCCTCTGTCCACTTAGCAGTATATAGTAAATGGGTATGCCACAGTTAGTCGATCGGGAGGTCATGTGTGGTGGGTTTAAGTGCGGTTACTCCCACCTCTTCCATGAAGTTTGGTCAACCAAAGTACCCTCCAGAGGGATTCTCTAGAGGGGCTCGGTTGCGCTCTCGCTGCAGTGGCACGAGGAAGCAATTTCAGGACCGCACCCATACCTTTGCAAATAATTCAGAACATCTTCTTGGTTCTTTCGGTAAAGTCACGTAGAATGGAAATAAAATAATAAAAATAAAACAATAAAATAAAATTCTCACGACGTTTCGGCCACAACACAAGTAGCCTTCTTCAGGTGGAGAAACAGGACTGTCCAGAAGACAGCGCGTGAGTGAACACTGCCAAGCATGGACCGCGTCTTTTAAGCTGTGTGGGTGGAATTAACATATGAATTAGCATGTTACCCAGCCCCACCTCCGGAGCGGAGGAGGGGGGCTGGTTTTGCTTTCTTGTGCAACCAAGAAGATGAATCCCTGCAGTCACGAAAGCTTTAAATCGAAATTCAGAACATATTCATCGGACCTTTTAAGGTACAGTGAAGGTTATATGCCTGAATATGGGCAGAAAAAAGGTGCACTGCAAAGCCACCAGTCAACCTCATGACCAAGCCATGCATGTGAAACCTGTCATCTTGTACCCCAGGCCCTTTGTGGCATCTCTGGTAAGCACCACTGCTGTCAGCAATGTAACCAGCTGGCTATGGCCTCAAAAAGCAGAATTTATAAGCACAATTATCCTACAAAGGCATGGATATGACAAATATGTTTTTTCTTGGGTACTACCGAGAAAGCATCTTTCAGCTCGTCCTCCTATCCTCGCTTTCCATCCTCTCTGCTCCCTTCTTTCTCGACCAAGACTTCAACTCAGGAGGTCGTATGCAGGACATCGAGGGTTTGATCCTGACCCTGACGCATGTATATTTAGAGGTTGCATGTTCTCTCCGAGGTTGCGTGGATTTTTATATCGGTCCTCCGGTTTTTCCCTCCACATTTAGAAACACGCATTTATATCATTTGGCTGCTATACATTTCCACATGATAAGCCACTACGTTGAGGCACAATTTGTGGCCAGGTCGCGTTTGAAAAAGAGCTAATTACTCAGTGGGCTTTACCAGGTGAAATAAATATAGTTTATAGTTTAATGTTAACTCCTTCTTCGTCCAGCTTTCTACAGCCTGAATATACCCACCTCTCTCCCTCCTCCTTCTCATCATTCCCCTCTTAAGCTTCCTCCTGTCCTCCCCACCTACCTCGACCTCGCCCACCTCCCTCCCTCACATCCTCCCCAGTCCCCTCCCTTTCTCCCTCTTCAATTTCTCTGCAAATGTCAGGGGGCCAAGGTCAGGCCTTTAATTTGCGCCCAGGGTTTACGGGCAGACACAGGCAAGGAGCGCGCGCCTCCTCGGTTGCACGGCGAGTCTCGTAGGCGACGGACGAGTCTAAATCATGGCGCTCGAGACGCCCGGCCTGTGGGGTCGCCCACCACTAATGTACTCGTGTGTGCACTCGCAAATAGAGTGTGCTTTACATGAAATCGCCCAAAAACATTCAATAATGCCACTGCACAAAGCGATTCAATTCATGCAGCGTGGCATGGAAGGACATGCACTACGTAAGTCGATGCTGTATTTTGTGTCGTGTGATTTTTTGGGAGCGGAATGTAGGGAGCAGTGGTTAATGCACTGCCTTATAAAGCTGGCGACTTGAGTTTCATTCTAGGTCAATGATAACATTCATGGCGAGTGTTTATTTAAACTGGCCCTGAGCACTCCTCACAGCCTCCACTTCCACAACCAGTGTTGATCAGAGTGGTGAAGAATGGCCAAACAATCAACGTAAATGACATGGCGTGGCAAGGCCTTCACGCAGCAGCAGTGAACTGACAAAGGAATGTAAATAATTAATATTTTTGAGACGAAACATATCTGATGAGCCCACAAGGACAATTAATTAAGCATCCGTGTACATAAGACTACCAAACTACAACACTCCTGTTTTACGAATAATACACTGCCGAGTTACATGTCTTAATGTCAGCACTTCTTTGGCATGAGTAGGCACTTCTGAGATGTTTAAAACTCCCACCGATTCATGTAACTTATTAATATGATGTGGTACGCATCAACGCAATAACCTAAATGGCACGGCAAGACACCACACTTTGCTGCCACCGCTTTTCACTTCATAACAATCCAATCTTCTTTAACATCACTCCTGTGAGAGCACCTGTACAAATATACCGATCATACATTGCTATGCATCACTCAATTTAAAACCAAACATTGATTTATCTTGACTGTCGTATTCAAGCTAAATTCACCCCCAGTTATTATTCAGATCGTCCCAGATGCTCCTCGAGCACGCTGTAGACTTTAATGTGTGCACTCTGACAGTGTCTAGCCTCAATGTATTGAGCGCTCTTTAGAGCTATTAACAACAAAAAAGACCCCACTTCTAACAAAGTGATTTACTACTTGTAAGTCCGGTAAGAGGACACCAATCACGCAACATCACGTTGATATTGACTATGATGGTCACAAAATACTCTGTCATCTGAAAGAACTGGATATTGCCAAGGGCACCCCTACTGTGCCAGAGTGGAATATATTTTAATCGGCTGTCTAATGCTGTGTGGAAGCTACCTGGTCTGTCGCCCTGCACGAAGCTTCGGGTTTTCTTGGCCACCGCCATGCTCTCCCTTCTCTACGCTTGTGACACGTGGACCCCTCCAATAGAACATCTGCACCGGTTGGAAACATTCAGGCTAGTACGTCTACGATCCATCCTGGTTTAACCAGACTCGATTGTGCGGGCAGCTCACAAATCTTTGAACGATATGGACACATTCCCATCAGTGAGCTCCTCCGGCAGGCAAGGCTGTATTGGCTGGGTCATGTAGCCCGTATGTCCAGCCACCGCATGCCCAAGCAGCTTGTTTGGCTGCATAGAGGGGGGCAAACGAGCACGACATTGGCTGGAAAAGAGATGGACTGATGCAGTATTGGAGGATGTGGAGCTGAGTGGACTTGCCGACGACTGGTACCAGCGGTGTCAAGATCGACGTCTATGGAGGAGGCTCGTGAAGGATGATACTGGGC